CCCAACTAGGATAACAGGTGTGAGTCACTACATCCAGCCCCTCTAAATTATGTTTGATGATTGAAGCCCTCACATGGCTGTAAGAAGGCGCCCTACCCCCCTGTTCTGCTGCAGTGTATCAAAGATGCTCAATTGGGAGCCTGACTTTTATCCCTGTCTAACAGTAATGTCCCCAACCCATAGTTAGTGGGAGCCTGATGGAGAGTAGTAATGAGGCATTCTTTTCCCTCTCAGCCAGGGTGACGTCAGCAGAGGCCTAATGGAGAGCCTGGATCACCGTCTCCACTTAGCAGTAACAAGGCAACAAAGCACCTCCTAGCCCTCCATCCCAAAGAGATGGCCAAGTGGGGAACCTGGGCTTCCACCTCCACCCAGCAGTAATGAGGTAGCACTCTTCTCCTCTCACTGATGCAGTGTCAGACAATGCCTGCTGACATAAATAAGATCCAGAGTCTCAAAACATAATTCCCCAAATGTTTCAAATATAGTTGAAAATTGCTAGTTATATGAAGAACTGGGAACATCTCAACCTTACCGAGAAAAGAAAACCAACAGATGCCAACACGGAGATGACACAAACTTTGGAATTCCCTGACAATACTTTAAAGCAGCCATCATAGTCAAACTTCGAAAAACTAAAGATAAGGAAAAAATATTGAAAGCCATGAAAGAAAAATGAAGGAAAAAGACCCGCTCAAATGACAGCCAGTTCCTCATTGAAAACCATGGATGTTAGAAGGATTTAGCAAACAATTTTCAAGTACTAAAGGAAATACCTGGCAATGCAGAATCTTATGTCTTAGGAAAATGCGTTTCCTGAATAAAGGGAGGCTATCAAAATACTCTTTTTTTTTTTTTTTTTTTTTCCTGAGACGGAGTCTTGCTTTGTCACCCAGGCTGGAGTGCAGTGGTGCAATCTCGGCTCACTGCAAGCTCTGCCTCCCAAGTTCATGCCATTCTCCTGCCTCAGCCTCCCAAGTAGCTGGGACTACAGGTGCCTGCCACCATGCCCGGCTAATTTTTTGTATTCAGAATACTCTTAACTGAAAAAAAAACTAAGAGTATCTGTTGCCAGCAGACCTACTCTGAAATAATGACCAAAGGAAATTCTTGAAACAGAAAGGAAATAATAGAAGGAAACTTGGGACATCATGGAGGAAGAAATATTGGTAAATGCAATAGACTTTACTTCTCCCCTTGAGGTTTCTAAATTATATTTAATGGTTGAAGCAAAAATGTGAAGCCTGTCTGATGTGCTCCTCAATGTATATAAGGGAAATATTTAAGACAATTATAAATAGAGGAGGGTAAATGGACTTAAAAGTTTTGTATACTTCACTCCAACTGGTAAATGTCAACAGAAGTAAAGCTATGTTAAATTATGTATGTATAATGTAATACCTACAGCAAACATTAAAAATTTATATGAAGAAATACACTCAAAAATACTAAATAAATGAAAATGGAATTCTAAGAAAAAGTTCAAATAACCTGCAGGAAGGCAGGAAAAAGAAAATAAACCAAAATCAAAGGGAGGCAACAGAAAACAAAAAACAAAATGCCAGAATTTAGCCCTAACATATCAATATCATATTAAATGTAAGTAATCTAACCATATCAATTAAAAGACAGAGATTTGCAGCATGGATTAAAAAATATGGCCCAACTCAAGAGGCTGAGATGAGAGAATTGCTTGAGCCCAGGAGTTCAAGTGCAGCCTGGGCAACATAGCAAGACCCTATCTTTAAAAAAAAAAATGTGATCCAGCTATCTGCTGTTTACAATAAATGTACTTTAAATATTAAAAGATTAGTCGAAAATAAACAGCTGGAAAAGTCATATGGTTCAAACATTTATCAAAAGAAAACAGGAGTGGCTGGCCGCAGTGGCTCACAGCTGTAATGCCAGCACTTTGGGAGGCTGAGGTGGACAGATCACCTGAGGTCAGGAGTTTGAGACCAGCCTGGCCAACATGGTGAAACCCCATCTCTACTAAAAATACAAAAATTAGCTAGGCAAGGTGGCAGGCACTTGTAGTCACAGCTACTCGGGGGGCTGAGGCAGGATAATCATTTGAACCCAGGAGGCAGAGGTTGCAGTGAGCCGAGATTGCACCATTGCATTCCAGCCTGGGGGATAAGAGCGAGACTCTGTCTCAAAAAAAATAAAAAAGAAAACAGGAGTGATTTTATTAATATTAGATAAAGTAGACCTCAGAGGAAAAAAAAATATACCAGAGACCGAAACATTATTTAAGGACAAAAGGGTCCAGCCGAGCTTGGTGGCTCACACTTATAATCCTGGCACTTTGGGAGGCCGAGGCAGGCAGATCACGAGGTCAGGAGTTCAAGACCAATCTGGCCAGCATGGTAAAACCCCCTTTCTACCAAAAATACAAAAAGTAGCCAGGTGTGGTGGCATGCGCCTGTAGTCCCAGCTACTTGGGAGGCTGAGGCAGGAGAATTGCTTGAAGCTGGGAGGCAGAGGTTGCAGTGAGCCGAGATCTGTGCCACTGCCCTCCAGCCTGGGTGACACAGTGAGACTCCATCTCAAAAAAAAAAGAGAATTCTGGCCAGGTGCAGTAGCTCATGCTTATAATCCCAGTGCCTTGGGAGGCCAAGGTGGGAGGATCACTTGAGCTCAGGAGTTTGAGACCAGCCTGGGCAATATAGTGAGACCTTATCTCTATACAAAAAAAAAAAAAAAGAAAAGAAAAAAAAACTCAACAACACCATCATCGGGAAGGATCTAATTGACATTTATCAAATATTCCATTCAACAAAAAGCAGAACATACAATCTTTTAAAGCACCAAAGTAACATATACACGATAGACCATATCCTGGGCCAGAAAAGTCCTCAGAAAACTGAAAAGTGTTGAAATCACACAGAGTGTACTTGTTGTCCCTATTTCAGATAACATGACTGTTTATGTAAAATATCCCAATAGATCTACAAAAAACAGAGAAAGGAAAAGAAAAAGAAAAAAAAAACCTTTTAAACTTAATTGGTGAGGTCAGCAAGGTCTGAGATACAAGCTAAACACACAGAAATCAACTGTATTTCTATATCTAGCATTGAACACTGAAATTAAACAATCACTCCGAAAAATAAAATACTAGTTGTAAATCTAACAAAACATGTATGGGACTTGTAGGCTGAATGCTACAAAATGCCAGTCAAAGAAATGAAAGAACGAAATTAACAGATATACTGTGTTCAAGGATTAGAAAACTCAACCTAGTAAAGATCTTAATTTTCCTCAAATTTATATATAAATATATGATATATTTTTGATGTCATATCTAATTATATATAATTAAATATATAATTTATTTCTATAATATATGTTTATATATCTATGTAATATGTAATATAGAAATGTATATTTTATATATTATAATATATTTATATAATTATATACATATAAATTTATATACAAATATATAAAATTTTTTTTTTTTTTTTTTTTTTTTTTTTTTTTTTTTTGAGGCGGAGTTTCGCTCTGTCGCCCAAGCTGGAGTGCAGTGGCCGGATCTCAGCTCACTGCAAGCTCCGCCTCCCGGGTTCACGCCATTCTCCTGCCTCGAGACTCCCGCCCGAGTAGCTGGGACTACAGGCGCCCGCCACCTCGCCCGGCTAGATTTTTGTATTTTTTAGTAGAGACGGGGTTTCACCGGGTTAGCCAGGATGGTCTTGATCTCCTGACCTCGTGATCCGCCCGTCTCGGCCTCCCAAAGTGCTGGGATTACAGGCTTGAGCCACCGCGCCCGGCCATAAAAAATATTTTTTTAAAAAGCTAGGTGTGATGTATACTTGTAGTCCCAGCTATTCAGGAGGCTGAGGCAGGAGGATTGCTTGAGCCCAGGACTTCCAGGCTATAGTGCACTATGCCGAGTGATCAGGTGTCCACATTAAGTTCAACATCAATATGGTGACCTCTGAGGAGTGAGTGACCACCAGGTTGCCAAAAGAGGGGTGAATTGGACAAAGTTGGAAATGGAGCAAGTCAAAACTCCCATGCTAATCAGTAGTGGGCCCTTGCTTGTGAGTACCCAAAGCATTCCAGCCTGGGCAACATAGAGAGACCTCATCTCTTACAAAAGAAAAAAATCCCAGTAAAAGTTTTACAGATACAGACAAACTTATTCTAAAGTTTTTGACAAAGATGAAAAAGCAATTCAAGAAAACAAGAACACCCTTTCTAACAAAAGTGCTAGAGCATTCAGATATCCATAGACAAAAAAATGAACCTCCGCTTGAACCTTACAAAAATTAACTCAAAGTAGATCACAGGGTTAAATATCAGACATTAAATGCTAAAGTTTTAAAGAGAAAACAGAAGAAAAATCTTTGGGATCTAGGGCTTAATGAAGAGTTCTCAGACATGACAACAAAAGAGTAATCCATCAAAGAAAAAAACCTGGTAAGTTGGACTTCATCAAAATATAAAACTTTTAGTCTGTGAAAGACCTATAGGGAAGATGAAAAGACAAGTTACACAGACGGAGAAAATATTTGCAAATCACGTGTGTGACAAAGAACTCTTATCTAGACTATATAAGGAATGCTTGAAACTGGGTCTCTTGCCATGGCAACATGATTGGGAGTACCAGGAAGCCAGGGTTGGAGCAGGATGCCATGGATTGCTTTAACCCTTTTCCTTCTTAGAAAAACAAGGGGCAGCTCACTGCCAGTGCTCATTTAATTTTACATAAACAGGCTCTTGGAGGCTGAAGCAAATCTGACTGATTTTTGATGTGAAAATAAAATATAAAAACCGTTCCTGAAGCTATTTCTAAACAGAACTAACATAAAAATAGTCTGAATCATCAGAATCGTCTATTTTGGAAAAACCGGATTCGTCAAATGAATCTTTGGGCAACAACTGTTTGAGAACGATGTTAACATCATGTGTAGGAATGTTATGTTTTCTAGGATCTGGCAATTTCAGTGATTGAGAATCACTATATTTTGCAAATGGAAATACCACTACTAAAAACAAAATACTATAAACAGAGTGATGTCTTTTGTTTCCAAAGGCAATATTCTAGAACTATGTGAAAATAGTAACGAAAGTGAGATATTTTGTGGCAAAGTTATCTCTGGGTAAACGCTGCAGCCACAAGTGCTGCTGGAGAGCGTTCTCAGAGCAAACGGGAAAGGGTTAAGAAAATGGCACACAAACTGGACCTGGGGGAAATTGCCGGCTCGGATAAGGTCAAGCTGAAGGCCACAGAGATGCAGAAGAACACTCTGCCGACCACAGAGACCACAGAGCAGGAGAAGAGGAGTGAAATTTCCTGAGAGCCTCGAGGATTCCCTACGCCTGTCATCTTTGAGCCCCGACTTGAGATGTGGAGGAAGAGCCAACTGAAAGTTGGATACGCCCCACAAACCGCACTGTGAACCAAACCTGGGCTCTCCGCACCGTGCCGCCGACCTGTGAGTCTCTGAGGGGCGCTCCAATGGGACTGCCAAATTCTCCGGCTTGCCCCTGGATATTACAGAAAATTATCTGTGGCCAGTTGCGGTGGGTCACACCTATAATCCCAGCACTTTGGGAAGTCAAGGCAGGCAGATCGCCTGAGGTCAGGAGTTCGAGACCAGCCTAACATGGTGAAACCCTGTCTTTACTGAAAATACCAAAATTAGCCTACTGTAATCCCAGCTACTTGGGAGGCTGAGGCAGGAGAATCCCTTGAACCCGGGAGGCAGAGGTTGCAGTGAGCCGAGATGGCGCCACTGAACTCTAGCCTGGGTGACAAAGGGAGATTCTGTCTTAAAATAAATAAATAAATAAATAAATGAATAAATAAATAAATAAATATGTATATATGAAAATTATTTGTATGAATAATGAAAATAAAACACAATTTGTGGCCAAAATAAAAAATAAAAAAAGAATGCTTGAAACTCAACAGTAAAACCACTCCAATTAGGAAACAAGCAAAGGACATGAAGAGACATTTTATCAGAGGATGTAGAGATGGCAAATAAGCACATGAAAAGATGTTTAATATCAGTATCCATTTGGGAAATGCAAACTAAGACCACCCTGTGAGTAGAGTGTAAAGAAAAAATAGTGACAATACCGAATTCTGGTGAAGATGTGGAAAAACTACATTTCTCATACATTGTTGGTGAGAATGTAAAATGGCTTAGCCATTCTAGAAAATAGTTTGGCAGTTTATTTTAAAAACTAAGTGTGCAACTATCATACACCTCAATAATGATACTTCTGACCATTTATCTCAGAGAAATAAAAACTTATATCTACACAAAACCATATGTAAATGTTCATCAAACCTTTGTTTGTAATAGGGGAAATCTGGAAACAACCACAATGTCCTTCAATAGGTGGATGGTTCCACAAATTATACCATTCATACCATGGAATCCTATTCAGAAATAAAAAGAAATGAATTATTGATACATAGAAAAACTTGGATGGGTTTTAAGAGCCTTAAGATGAGTGATAAAAGCCAATCTCAAAAGGCCACATATTACATGACGTAATATATATAATATTCTCAAAATGATGAAATTATAGGAATGGAGAAATGATTAGTGATTGCCAAGGGTTAGGAATTGGGAGGAGGAGAAAATGACTCTAAAGGGGTAGCACAAGGGGTCTTCATGGTGGTGGAATAGTTCTGTATCTTGATTGCGGTGGCAGGAATCTACAACGTGTGATAAGTGACAGATAATTATACATACACATTGTTCCGAGATCAACTTCCTGATTTTGTCATTATACTATAATTAAGATATAACCATTGGAGGATATGAGTGAAGGGTTCAAAGGACCTTTCTGTATTATTTTTGCACCTTTCTGTGAATCTATAATTATTTCAAAATAAAAAGTGAAAACACACAGATCTATACACTGTAGGTTCAAGAGAAAGTTTTTGTTTAAGGTGAGGAAAATCTGCCTTGTTTATAGATATTATGAAGGTATCAAGAAAAGGACCAGCAGTGAGAGAAATACAGTATTTGCAGTGTTTACTCAGCCTTTTTTCTAACAGATGACCCCTATAAAGCTTCATTTTCTTCTCTTCTCCCACAGCGAAGTTTTTTTTCCAGAATTCTATTTCCTTGAGTTTGTATTGTGAAATACAATACCTTGGACGGTATGAGGGAAATACCTTGGATGGTATGAGGGAAATTCTTTACTTTTCCATCGAGGTAGCAGGGACAAAGAAAGACAGGTACTACTTTGAGAAGAGCTTGATGGCAGATCTTCTCTGTGGGGAAAAGGTTATCTGCTAAGACTGAGGATGATTCAAGGTTAAGTGTGAACCTGAGAAGTATTGACATGACTTGAAAGAGTCATAATGGGTTATACAATGGAGAGGAAACAAAATTTAATGAAGGACCAGTTGAGTGATCTTAAGAGTTCAGTGGAAAAGTGGTAAGATACTTTGTTGAGCGGTAAGATACTTTATTAATCTTTCTATGAGTGGTAAGATACTTTATTAATCTTTCTATGATTCTCTACATTTTTTTGCTATCTCCAGGGCTACCAAGACATTCAAGGGATCATTCAATCAGGATGGTCTGAAGATGAGGAGGCTTTCGTATGTACCCAGCACAGCACATCAGCCTACTTCTTGTGAACTTGTAGAAGGAGGAAGGAAACCCTACAGTGAGACTGAATTTCCTGCTAGTCAATGTATTAAAGTCAGAGTTGTTTGTCATAATAGATAAAATGTTTCTTATATAGCTGCTTTTGTGAAATATGATTCAAACTTGCCACATTAATATGAATTTTAACTTAAGGGACCTACATGATTTTGCTGCATTCTTTAGCAACACTTGTGGCCTAGGAGAGAGAAAGCAGACATGGCCCAATTCTGCCTCTTCTATCTTTTGAATTGTATAAAGAGAGTGAGAAAGACTCCCACATGAGCAAAACAAACAAAGCATTGATAAGAAATATGGAACATTAAAGTGTTTCTCACTCTCCCTTCAAATAAACAATTTTGTTTGTTTTGAGACAGGGTCTTGCTCAGTCACCCAGGCTGTGGTACAATGATGATCATAGCTCACTGTAACCTCAAACTCAAGTGATGGTGGGTTCAAGTGATTGTCCCACTTCAGGCTCCTGAGTAGCTGAGACTACCTCACGTGCCACCGTGCCCTGCCAATTCTTTTTAGATGTTCTAACTACTCATCTCTAAGACGTGTCATTAGAGCTGGTAAATAAATCATCTCTGCACAGATGAAGTGGTATAAACTGGTGGAACTTGATTCTTAAAATGTAACTGGAAAGTTTCCCATGACTACTAAATATTTCCAGATACACTGATTAAAATCCAGGGTAAAAATTTAAGTGATTCTTTTAAATTGAATGTGTTATTCAATAATATACAGTTGGCCTGCCCTATCTGTGGGGGATTGTTCCAGAACCCCCGTGGATACCATAATCCATGGATACTCAAGTTCCTTAGTTAGCACTCACAGGGGGAGGTGGGATGGAGGGGGTGGGGTGAGGAGATGCCAGATTCTGCATCCGCGGATTGTACCAATGCAGAATGCAGGTACTGTTTTTTCCATCAGGGTTGGGGTTGGTCGAATCCACGAATGTAGAAACTGCTGTTAGAGAGCCAACTGTATTTCAAGAACCTATCATCATATAATTTTTTTTTCTAGTTTATCTTTATCTTATAAAATGTTTCAGCTAGGCAGTGATGTGTGCCTGTAATCCTGGCTGACATAAGAGGATAATTTGAGCCCAGGAGTTTGAATCCAGCCTGGGAAACACAGCAAGACCATATCTCTAAAAAAAAAAAAAAAAAAAAAAAAAAGTTAAAAAATTTAACTCCTAGTAAGAAAAAATTAAAATATATACTAACTGCCAGACTGAATAGTATTTACCATCTACGCCTTTCCTTTTCATTAGATATTACACTTAGAAAAAATCTGATCATGACTCATCTGCTTGAGAAGCATTTCCAATATTATTTTCGTGAATGTATTAAAATGTGTAATATATGTTGATTTGGTCAATTATATACGACTAACTTTAATGAAAAACAATCTGAGGAAAAAATCTATGTCTTATAATCACAAGAAAAAATGTGCACTTTATAATTTCAATTTATACACATACTATAGTTACAGAGAACTATGATGGGTTCATCAATACTTTCTTTTTGGACACAGAGTTTCACTCTGTCGCCCAGGCTGGAGTGCAATGGCATGATCTTGACTCACTGCAACCTCTGTCCCTCGGGTTCAAGTGATTTTCCTGCCTCAGCCTCCCGAGTAGCTGGGATTACAGACACATGCCACCATGCCCAGCTAATTTTTGTATTTTTAGTAGAGATGGGGTTTCACCATGTTGGCTAGGCTGGTCTCAAACTCCTGACCTCAGGTAATCTGCCCACCTTGGCCTCCCAAAGTGCTGGGATTATAGGTGTGAGCCACCACGCCTGGCCCTAAAGTACTTTCAGATATAAAATGTATTGGATTACAACAAAATTCTACAGGGCAAGTAGAATGGGAATTAGAGTTCAAGGAGAATAAGCAAATAAGGAAAAATTTTAAATGCTAATAATTTTTATTAAAGAGCAAGAATTCTGTATTCCTTAAAATAAAGATGTATTTATTCACATTTTTCTGAAAATGAATAATAGTGGCTATGAAATCACTGTGGGTATTTATACTACACTTCATGTAACATTTTTATTTTAAAATATCTCTAATGTGCTAGAAATTGCATCTTTTGGAATGATTAAAATGTTGAAAAAATGCTATATTTCAACTTAAAATGTTTGGCAGGGGGAATTATAGCAGCAAAAAAATGTGAAGACTGTTGTCATAGGCATCATCTAAAGCTGGAAAGTGGGATATGCTGAGTGAAGTGGGATGCAAAAATGACTAAAGTCAAGTTAACTGAGAAAAAGAGGTTCAATGGATAGAACAGTGCTGGAGAGTTGCCTGGATTATGATCACAGCACAAAGCTCCAAGTTTAAAATCTTGCAGATAAAAGAGTTCTCAGTCAAATAAAATATGCAGGCCTATGCTCGAGAGGTATTGATTTTTTGAAATTATAAATATATGTTCCTTAGGGCAAGGAATGTCTTTAAAACACTACAGATAAAAATGCAAAATTTAAAAACCCATCATATGATTATAAATTATTAATACAAAACTCTCTAATTAAAAAATTGCATACCACCTAAATGTGCAACATTTGAAGACTATTTAGCTACACTATAGTATAGCCAGTAATGCAGTCACTAAAAACAATATTTATAAATAAGGGGGAAGAAACAGATCTTTTTCGTAGAAGAATTCCAAATTATATATACAGAGAAATACTCCCCTCTCTAGGAGGTGAAGCTTCATTCCTGGGTGCCCCGACCCCCCTGGGAGTGGGCTAGACTTAGTGACTGTTTCCAAAGAATAAGTAGGGAAAGGAAAAAACAGTAACTTTATAGTGGGGAAACCTAACAGACATCACCAAAATCGTG